AGGAAAAGAGAAACTAAAAATTGAAAGGAACAGATCTGTTTTTTTTATTCTTCTTTGGTTGATTCTATAGGGTTCTCTTGGTCTGAGTTTGGGGTGTTGCTGGAAACAGCAGCAAGAAGAGGATGATCGCTAAGCTTCCAGAATTCACCGAGCAAGATTGTGCATTTTTTTGGGTTTTCATCTTAAGTATTTTCCTGCAACAGAGGAGTCCTTTTGGGAGGCAGTGAAGGGGATGATCTGGACTTGATCTCATGGGAGGGATCCGCCAGATCGAACTTCGATCTGTTACCCAGAAAGCTCCACCGTGTTTGTTTCTTTTGTCCTCTTGTTTCTGTTTTCTACTTTCATGATGTTAAGTTGTATATGTTTATCTGAAAATGAATGAGAATCTAAGTTTGAAAATGAATGAGAATCTAAGTTTAACTAAGTTATTGTGTTTTGATGAATTTGCTCTTTCTTTGCTGTTGGCGAATGTGATTTTTTTTATGATTAACGTGTTCTTTCTTTTAAGAGTGATGAACCTTAATTGCAAGTTTCTTTTATCCATGTTTGATCTGTTTTGGTTTATTTTGAGCAGTGGGTCGTGTTTCTAGGTTGGATCAACCCGACCCAATCCAATAAAAAATAATAATAATAACAAGGTTAAAAAGAAAAATATATATATAATTATTAATTAATTAAATGAGTTAGTTTAATTTATGATTAATAAAGTTAATTAATCTTAATTAAAATAAATTAATCACATTTATTGAGTTTGATTTGAGATAATTAGATTTATTTAATTATCTCAATTAATGATTAGTAAATGTGATTCATTTATTTTAATTAATCTTGATTAATGTTAAGTTAATTATTCAATTAGATTAATTATCTTGATTAATTAATTTTAATTCTCAATTAACTTTAATTTTGGTCAAAGTCAAAGTTATCTTTTATTTTATCTCAATTTCCCCCAAAAGTTTTTATAATTAAGTAATTTAGTCCCAAGGTTTCAAATCTTTTTAAATCAATCCTTCATGTTTTGAATTTAATCAAATCAGTCTATTTAATTTTTATTTGTGTTTATTGTGCATGCATGTTCTTGATTTTGTCTATTCAATCCAAAATTTAAAAAAATGTTTTGATTTGGTTTTTTTTTTTTTTTTAAGTTTGTCTATTAAGACTCAAACATAAATATAATAAATAAGTTGAATTAAAACCCCAATTTTAAAGTATACAACCGTGTTTAAACGGAGGATTATGAGGTACGCATATGCCTTTCCTCACTCCTAACCGAACCCCCGAACCCTGATCTCAATATAAACCTATTTTAGGTGACTTGTCTCATATTATAATTTGGACAAGTGGTGGCTCCCTTTTCTTATATTTTTCACACTTAATAATTTTAAGTGTGGTCGTCAACAGATCGGCGACTCCATTAGGGACCGAACCTAGAATCTATGGTTTCCATATTTTGGGTTTACGAGGGTCGAGCTAATACTTTAATTTTGGAGAATTTTTCAACTTTTGATTTTTTTGTTTGTTGAGTCTTTGTGGGTCTTTGTTGTTTATTGCATGTGCTTGTTATGTGGTGCTTGTTGCTAGTTTGCTTATTGTTTTGGTGGTTGCTTTTATTGTTCTTGCCTTTGAGTAATTATCTTGTCATATCATGACATGCATCATTCCTTGCTCACATGTTCATGCATCATATTATCTCACATGCTCATCCATCATTGATGTTACATGCTTATTCATCGTGCATCATGCATCATGCTTATATGCCTACTTGCTTCTTTGTGAATGTGCTAACCTTTTGCATTTGGCATGGGAGTACGAGATGAGTCCCTTCTTGTTGTGTAAGTAGGTTTTGTTTGTGGGTGATATATTTGTGAAGTGCTTTACATGTTTTATTTGCTTGTTTGCTTTATCTACTTGTTAGATATATGTTGCTATTTTTGTGGTTGCCATTGTGCAAGTTATTGGAGTGTCATGCCCCTTTGCACACACTCACCCTCATTTTACATTAGGTCCATGTCGAAGGTGAACCCGACCTCTAGTCTGGAATCCTTATGAATCTGGCTGGGAAGAGCAATTCTTCCCGCTTTGAGGAGTAAGGTCGGTTCCCATTAGATTGTTTCCATTGGTTAATACGACACTTGATGATGTAATATCATTTTGTGTATTAGCTTTTGGAAATGTCTTTCGTTGATTCCAAAAGGATAAATGGTTGAGAAGGCTTAATGCCCTTTAGGAAAACATGTATTGGCCTTAGAGAGATACCAACCCTAGGACATGTTTCCCTTAGCATCTCACCCATGAGGCTAGGCGTCCCATGTTTAGGACACAAAAGGGGCATTTTACTTCACTAACCTTTGTTTGCATATATGGTAGCTTGTCTTTATATACTTAATGAGGTATGGCATGTGAGGGTATGATTTATGTTTAACTCTTTTAAGCCTTTTTGTTTAGGTAAGATCATGCATTAGACATGGATTTTACCGAGGATACAACTAGATAAGGGAAGAGACTTGGGGAAGATGTCACATCTCATGCTACTGCTAAGAAGGCTAGGGAGTCAATCTTTTCAGTCAATACCTCCAAACCTGACATGAAGTTGTTGAAAGAAGCTTATGGTTTGTTGTCTTCTAAGGAAAAGCATGGCTTTGAGGTCCGATTTGGGTGCATTGGGGATCTATTGTTAATGATCCTGGATTGGAACTTGTTCAGAGTTATGTTGAAATTTTATTTACCAGAATATCAAGCTTTTTCACCTTCACTCTTCAAGCACAACATATGAAGTTCACATTAGAAAAAGTTCAAGAAATGTTGCAAGCTATATGGGGTTTTTCATTTGAATTCTCACAACCATTGGTGACAACTAGAGAGGACTTTATGGGTTCAATTGGAATGTGGCGTTAATGACTTTGGGAAAGGGATTGGAGTGCATGACATCTTCTCAAAGGATCAACTTTGTGGCATTGGGAATTTATGACATAGTGATCTTCCCTATCTATGTCAAGACCATTGCAGCTATGATGATAGTTTTGTTTGAGAAATTGTTGCACACTTCGGCATTTAATCCTACTTCTATAGTGGTAGCTGAAACTTTGTGGTCTATGAAAGAAATTCGGGCTAAAGGATTCGGCTGCTTCTTGGGTTGCATCGAGTTGTTCATTACATGGGCACAAGGTCACTTGAGGGGTCCTTAATTTGAAGCTTTATTCAGCTTTCCTGTGAAGGATAGAAAGACAGAGGATTAACAATGATCACTTCTAGCAGCAACTATTAATGATGTCAGATTTGTTCTCTCGACTTGGAGTGCTACTCATTATCTCTCTCCACCCGAAGGACATCACTCTATTCCTTTGTTGGGCATTCATGGAGGGGTTACATATTCTGTGGAGTTGGCATCCCGTTAGTTTGGAAAGGCACAAAATGTTCCTTATCTTGATGATGCATTGCAATCACACTTTGATTACATGTCTTCCCCAGTGATTGTTAACAAGGTATCCGAGGCACATGAGATGTGGGAGAGATGTAGGATGCTACTTGTATGGAAAAAGAAGGGGACTAGATCACAATATGAGCAATGGAGGTCGAGTTGGATAGCTAAGCTCTCTTTGCCATGGAAGGTGACAAATACAAAAAACTCTACCCTCATGGACTTAACTGCTAGGTTAGAGCTTAGCCATGCTCAAAGATGTCAGCTGTTAGAGAAGTATGATGAATTAACTCTTGATCATGAGTTGCTTAAAAGGGGAAAAGAGTTGTCAGATCAGCGAGTGGTGGGGTTGAAAGACAAGATTGCCTCATTGGAAAAGGATTTGGCTGCTAGTAAAGAAATTTGTGGAAAGCAAAAGAGGAGCTTGGACTTTACCGAAGAATAAAGGAAAAGACTACTACAAGTAAAGGCGGATCTTAAAGCAAGAGAAAAGGAGAATAAGGAGCTTATTGAAAGGGTGACTAAGTAGCAAGAGTTGAAAGGAAAATTGATTAAGTGGAGGAATGCTTACAACAACCTATTGTCTGATTATGATGCTCTACAAAAGGAATTACAAGCAACAAAGCAATCAAAGTAAGGAAAGAAGGAGAGCACAACTTGAAAAACTTGGGGAAAAATGGGTTACTTAGGAGCTTTTGTACGAATGTTAGAAATTTAGATTTGTCAATGAAAACTTGCTTGAATGAATACAATCTTTCTTCCTTGTCAAAAGTATATTTGATGAAGTAAAATCCATGATTAGGATAGAAATTTTAATTTTCAAGTCCCATATCACATATACATTTCTATTTTATCACACTTATCATCAACTACAATCTTTGATCATCCTCTTATTAATATCTTTATTTGGTCATTTTGTGTTTAGTTCTCAAGCCCCTTTTGTTTGGACCATCTGTGACCTTTGAAAAGAAATATGGATTCTCACACATCCAAGGCACAAGCTTCTTCACGCAAGACCTTGTTGGAGTTCTTTGCTCGTACTCAAAGGCTCAATGAAGAAACCATCTCTTATTTGCACCAATTGACTAAGGACAATGAACACCTTCGCAAATCCAATGAGCAATTGGAAGAGCAACTACAAGACATGACTATCAACCGTAATCTTTACAAGATTGCCATGGAGGACATGTGCTATCAACTCTAAGTCGAGAAGCAAAAGAACCAAGCCCTTTTTGAAGAAGACACCGGTTTGCGTGAAGTTGTCATTGACATAACCGCCTTGGTGACTCAATTCGAGGAAACATGGTAGAGACTCATCACCACATCGCTCAAAGGACCCATCCGATTGAGAGGGGATTCTTCCAACCAGTCTTCTACTTTATCTTTGACATGTCTAATGTGCTCAAAAGGCTATATTAGAATTTATGTTCTGTAATGAGTTTATTTTAGCTTTAAAAGAATGAAAGCTTGTAAGCACTTTGAATGCAACTTTGTAATGCTTGCCCACTTGGTCTAAAGTGCATTCCTTTGTTAGTTTTATCCTAGCTTTAAAACAATGAAGGTTTGTAAGCACTTTGAATGCAACTTTGTAATGCTTGCTAACTTTGTTTCAAGTGTGGTTATTTAGTAATGAAAAGCCATGTTTCAACACAACTCATTGTAAAATGGGTGGATGTCTTCGTACAAGATGGAAATGCCGATGTGAGAATCCATATGAAAATTCAAAAGGGAAATTAATGGTCCAATCAAAAGGGCTAAAGTCTCTTTAATTTTCTAATTTTGTTCTTTTTATTTTTACATTTCTATTGGTAGGTAAAATTCTTCTAATCATAGCTCCAAGGTGAAAGGTCTTCAAAAAGTGGCATTCTTTGTATTTGCTCAGATCTAGAGTAATCAAAATGTTTGAGGAAAATACTGCTACTAATCCAGAGAAATTAGCTATGGATGAGAGGGTTGATAAGTTGGAAGCTACAATGCAAATTGTGGCCGCTACTCTTCAGACTATCAGTCTTACTTTGTCCACTTTGACTATTGGTTTGGTTCCTTCACTTGCATCCTTAGTACCCACAATACTAGTTCCACCTGTCCCTATCCCATCATCTACCATCACACTGAGTAATCGTGCTAAGGATCCCTTGGTCACACAATTGCAATTTCCACTAATTTATGAGAATCAACCTCTAATGGGGGGGTCATCTTCACATGCTCCACAACTATCATCTTTTCCTTTTAAGGCCTCATACCCACCTCTCAAGATGAACAACCCAACCTTGTCCATAACCACACCTTTTACCCTTAACATACCACCTTTGATAGGACAAGTGCTAGCTATTCAACCCAACCCCTTGGTTGAGATATTGAGGCTTGCTTTAGAGGATGGGAAGTCAAGAGAGGTTGATCACAAGCTGAAACAGTTAGAAGAGGCTTTGAAGGCTATGCAAGGGCCACAAGCTTATGGTTCCATTGATTTGGATGATCTTTGTTACTATCTAGGAATTCAAACAAATTTCAAGTTCAAGCAACCGGATTTTGATAAGTATGATGGCTCAGGTTGTCCCTATGCCCACCTACAAATGTACGCTAGGAAGATGGCACCTTATGCCAATGATGAAAGGGTGCTCATTCATTATTTTCAAGACAATCTCTCAGGCCCAGTAAGTGTTTGGTTTTCAACGCTTGACAGAAAGAAGATTTGTACTTTCAAGGATATGTCTCAAGCTTTCATGAGGTAGTATGAGTACAATATGAGTCTGGCCCCTACAAAGGATAGCTTGTAGAGAATTACGAAGAAGAGTAATGAGACCTTCAAGGAATTTGCTCAAAGATGGAGATTCGAAGCAGCCAAAGTCATTCCACCTCTTACTGACAGCGAAATCTGCTCTCTCTTTATCAAGTCAACTACCAGGACTTTCTGTGCATGGTTAGCTCCTTGTGTGGGATATACTTTTGCTAAGTTAGTTGTGTGGGATATACTTTTGCTAAGTTAGTGATAGTGGGTGAACAAATTGAAGATGGATTGAAGACAGGTATTATTATGGACTTTCAAACCATTCAGAGGCAATTAGAGCAAGTCAAGACCGGTAACGCCAGATCTACTTCAAAGAAGTTTGCACCCAAAGGGAAGAAAGAAGATGAGGAGGCTTTAAGTCATATTTTCACCGACCATGCCAAACCAATTTATAATGTGGCAAATGTTCCTCATAATCGGCAGCCCCAATTGCAATTCACTCCAACCTTTAGGCCTACCACTTATCTTTAAAGGAGGCCAAACTTGAATACTCAAGCTCCTGTTAGACAGTAATTTCCACTTACAAATAGGCCGAGACAGTTCATTAGACTTCCAATCCCTTATAGTGAGGTGTTGAAACAATTAGTTGAAGTAGGTTTAACGAAGACAGTGCAAGTGGCCCTTGTTCGACCACCTTATCCGGACTAGTATGATCAGCAAGTCAGATGTGAATATCACAATGTGGTGGGTCATGTAACTGAATATTGTACAACTTTGAAACATAGGGTCCAAGATCTCATTGATGAGGGTAAACTTCAACTCGATACTAAGGAAACCAAGGGTGCTCCAAACATCACTTGGAATCCTTTACCTCCACATGGTGCACCCACCATGAATATGGTTACCTTTGATGAAGTTGATAGGCCTGTGTTGGAGAATGCCAGTTCTTGGTCTTTTGATGAGTTGTTTGCCATTTTGACAGAGTATGATCTGATTCAGCCAACTACACCAATGAGCTTGAATATTCTGTCGTGATGATTGATGAAGCTTTAGTGTGTCCTTATCATTCTAATATGAAGGAGCATGCTCTGCAGGATTGTGGGGATTTTCAGAGAAAGGTTAAGGAGTTGCAAGCCATAGGATCTTTGAAATTTATGTTTGCTCTAAAGTCAAAGAAATTCATAGCACTAGTGATTGAAGAATACTTTACTAGAGAGAGGCTTTACATTCTACAAGATACTAAAAAGGCACAAGTAGTCGGTCAGAATTCACAACAGCCTCATGTCTTGAAAACCTGTTTTAATGAGTCATTCATGGAAAAGATATCATCTATGGCCAATAGCCATTTTCCTTACTCACTTAAGGTTATGCCTCAACATTATGTCATCTTGAATCCTACAACTAATGATGTGTCCAATATGACCAGTAATGGTTGGTGCTATGTGAATCCCGAAGTGGAAGAATTGAGAAGGGCTGCCTTGAAGTCAAAAGACATCAGAATTGAAGAGGTACCAGAAGAATCACCTAAAAAGCTAGTGTCAGAAAATGAAGTTGCAAAATTTCTGAATATTTTGAGGAAGAATGAGTATAGCATCATTGAACAGCTCAACAAAACCCCTGCAAAATTTTAGAATTAATGTTATCATCTAAGGCTCATCTGGATGCATTGCTCAAAGTCTTGAAAGAGGCCCATGTGCCTAAGAACATTGATACTCAGAAGTTTCGAATTGTGGTTGGGGCAATCTTAACTCCAAATTATATTAATTTCACCAATGATGAGATTCCTGACGAAGGAAATGGACATCCTAAGGCTCTCTATATTTCAATCCAGTGTAGGATGATGAATGTGCCTTATGTGTTGATTGATAATGGGTCAGCTCTAAATGTGATTCCTATGACAATCTTTAAGCAATTGAAAGTAGATGAGTCTCACATTAATCAGTGTAACACAGTAGTCCGTGCTTTTGATGGAACAAGAAGGAATGTGATTGGAAAGATTGAGCTTTTAGTGGAAATTGGTCCTATGACTTTGATGTGGATTTCTTCGTTATGGATATTTCTCTCGCTTTTAATATGCTTCTTGGAAGGCCTTGGATACATGTCGCTAGAGCAGTACCATCCACTTTGCATCAGAAAGTCAAATACATTGTCAATGGTGTTCTTATCACAGTGAATGGTGAGGAAGAGCATGTCATCCGAAAGGCTACAACCATTCCTTACTTGGGAGTTGATCCTGGAACTTATGAATCCTCTTATCACTTAATGGAGTGTGCTGCTGCTTCTTATATTCACCCAAGGTTGAAAGGGAAAAAGACTGAAATGGCTAAACCTACCAAAGTTGTTGCTAGAATCATGCTTTCATGTCATTATCAGTTGGGATAAGGTTTGGGATTAAATGGACAAGGAATTCTCGAGCCTATTGAAATAATTCACACTGAGGGCACTTTTGGTTTAGGATACAAGCCAAAGAAGGAAGATTGGCAGAGGATGCGTGCTATTAAAGTGGAGAAATGCCTTGCTAGACTTCAAAGGAGAGATACAATGGATGAACCAATGTGGGTGCTGCACATTAGAGTCACATTTCCACGACCTGTTGAGATTTTGTGCCCTTCTCTTGATGGATATGTGGTAAAGCATATGGGTGTTTTGTATGTAGATCTAGAGGGTACTGTTTTCATTGACAGATCGCTTGAAATTGGGGAATGTTCAAAACAAGCGAAGTTTGAGGAAGTGGTTGTGGAAGATATCACTGATGAAGTCTATTATGATGATGAGGAAGACTACTTTGGCTTCAACAATCTCTTTGGGCGAGCCAACATGGCAGATTCTAAGGAAAGGTGGAGGAGGATACTTGCTGAAAGGATATTTATGAAGAAGCACCCCAACTTCCATCTCGTGCATCATGCGAAAGCCCCAATGGGTTCACATAAGTCTATGCCTCTCGAATCAGTGAAAGAAGAATCACTGTGCGATTTGTGGGGAAATTTGACTAGAAATGCTCTAAATGAGGAAGAACTTGAATTTGATAGGGGAATTTCTCTGGTTAATGGAAGCTCTTAAGCTAATTGGACAGCAGAACTTCTTCTTGCAGCTTTCATCTTTAAGTAAGAAGAGTCAGCCTCTAGTAGTTCTGCTTGTGACTACATGAAGGGAGGGATTCAACAAGCACCTTTATATTTTCTGAAATTTATGTTATCTTGCTTCTAGTATTCCCATGCTTTCCTTTTCAATGAAACATGTTGCAATCTTACCTATCATTGTAAAAATCATCATGATGCAACTTTAGTTGAACTTTCATTGTACAAGCCACTCTTTAATGATATATTTTATGAGGTTATCTAGTAACATGTTCCTATCTTTGCTTTATAATCATTTGGCCATTTATTTACTTATATCCCAAATTTTCAGGCCTACTAATGACGAATCTTTAAACAATGATGCCATATCAGACTTTATATATGAGATTGATGATCAGACCTATAAAGAAGAAGACAATGAAAATCTCGATCCTTTTCATGAACTAACTCAAATGCTAAGAGAGGAAAAACCAAAGCTGCAACTAAATCAAGAGACAGAAACCATTAATCTGGGTACTAAAGATGACAGAAATGAGATAAAAATTAATGCTCATCTATCCTCAAAGGAAAGAATAGAATTGATCGAGCTCTTATTTAAGTTCCAAGATGTTTTTGCTTGGTCCTACAAGGACATGCGAGGCCTTGATCCTAATATCATTATTCACGCCATTCCACTCTATTTTGAGGCCAAGCCAGTCAAGTAAAAGCTAAAGAGGATGAAACCAAAGGTTCTGTTGAAAGTCAAAGAAGAAGTACAAAAGCTGCTAGATGTCAATTTCATTGAAGTAACTATGTATTCGGAATGGGTGGCCAATATCGTTCCTGTAATGAAAAAGGATGGCCAAGTTAGGGTCTATGTGCATTATAGAGACTCGAACAAAGCAAGCCCAAAGGATGATTTCCAATTGCCTCACATCCAAATTATGCTAGATAATGCTGCCAAAAATGCTTGGTTCTCTTTTGTTGATGGCTACTCTAGGTATAATCAGATAAAAATGAAGGCGGAAGATAAGCTCAAAACAACATTCATTACTCAATAGGGTACCTTTTGCTACAAAGTTATGCCTTTTAGACTCAAAAATGCTGGGGCAACATACCAACACTTTGTGATTACTTTACTACATGACTTTGTGAATACCATTGTTGAGCTATATGTTGATGACATGGTGATTATGTCCAAAGAAGAAGTGCTACATACAGAAAATCTCAAGAAGGTGTTTGAACACCTTAGAAAATACCAAATGAGACTCAATCCTGCCAAATGTACTTTTGATGTGGATTCGAGAAAGCTACTTAGCTTCATTGTGAGCCGCTAAGGAATAGAGATTGATCTAGCCAAAATAAAAGCCATTGATGAAATGCCACCACCAAAAAACCAAAAAGAAGTTCGAAGTTTCTTGGGTAGAATTAATTACATTGCCCGTTTCATTGCCAACCTTACCACCATTTGTGAGCTTATCTTCAAACTCCTTAGAAAAGACAATCCTTACACCTAGAATGACCAATGCCAACAAGCCTTCGACAAAATCAAAGAATACCCCAAAAACCCACCAATCCTTATGCCACCAACTGATAAAAGGCCTTTCATCCTATATATCACTATCCTTGAAGAATCCATGGGAGCCATCCTTGTCCAACATGATGACTCAGGTAAGAAGGAAAGAGCCATCTATTACATGAGCAAGAAGTTCAATGATTGTGAGAGTAAATACTCACCTTTAGAAAAAACTTGCTGTGCTTTAGCTTGGAAATCCAAGAAACTTCGCCACTACATGTTAACTAACACCACTTACCTACTTTCAAGAATGGATCCCATAAAATTTATTTTTGAAAAACCTACCCTTTCTAAAAGGATCTCTCGGTGGCATATGTTGCTTTCTGAATTTGATATTGTTTACACCACACAAAAGGCCATCAAAGGGCAAGCCATTGCAGATCATTTAGCCGAACATGCGGTAGAGGATTATGAGCCTATTAATTGGGATTTTCCTAATAAAGACATTTTGGTAGTAAATGCAAAATTTGAGTCAGATAATTGGAAGCTCTTCTTTGATAGAGCTGTTAACCAGCTGGGTTGTGGCCTTGGAGCTGTCTCAGTATCCCCAAAGGGTGACCATTTTCCTATTGCTATAAAGCTCGATTCTGCTTGTACCAACAACATAGCCAAGTATGAAGCTTGTATTGCTGGGATGCATGTTGCTTTGGATATGAATATCCAAGATTTAGAGATATATGGTGATTCAGCACTAATCATCTATCAAACAAATGGTCATTGGCAAACCAAGGATCCAAAACTAATTCCTTATCACCAATACCTTGAAACTCTCACCAAGAAATTCAGATTCATCTATTTAAACCACATGCCCTGTGCCAAGAACCAATTTGCGGATGCTTTAGCAACTTTAGCCTTAATGATCCAAATCTCCAAGGATGATATGATCAAGCCTTTGATGATTGAAATTAGTCAAGAACTAGCACATTGCACGGAAATCAAGGTTGATGACAAACCATGGTTTCATGATATTAAATAGTTCTTGCAAAATGGGGAGTATCTTCTTCATGCTTCTGAAGTGAACAAGAAGACAATCAAAAAATTGGTAGCTTTATACTTCTTGAGCGGAAATACATTATATAAACGCTCTGCTGATATGACCTTATTGAGATGTGTTGATGAAAGAAGCAAAACAAGTCATGATTGAGGTCCATGAAGGGATACGTGGGACACATGCAAATGGAAGAATGCTTGCTAGAAAGATTCTCTAAGCCGAGTACTATTGGTTGACTATGGAACATGACTGCATCAAATATGCACGAGCTTGTCACAAATGTGAAATCTATGTCGATCATTTTAATGCTTCGCCTTCATTACTACATAATATATCTGCCCCTTGGCCATTCTCCATGCGAGGCATTGATGTGATTGGGGCAATTAATCCTAAAGCTTCCAATGGTCATCAATTTATCTTGGTTGCTATTGATTATTTTACCAAATGGGTAGAAGCAACATCTTATGCTAGTGTTACCAAGAAGGTGGTCACTCGCTTCATCAAAAAGGAAATCATCTGCAGATATGGACAACCAAAGGCTATCATTATGAATAATGCAAGCAATTTGAACAATGACATGATGATTGCGTTATTCAAGCAATTCAAGATCAAGCATTTGAACTCTTCTCCATATCGACCAAAGATGAATGGTGCAGTAGAAGCTACCAACAAGAATATTAAGAAGATTCTAGCTAAAATGGTAGTCACTTACAAAGATTGGCATGAAATGTTGCCATATGCTCTCCATGCTTATAGAACCTCTATTCGCACTTCAACTGGGGCAACACCTTATTCCTTGGTATATGGAATGGAGGCAGTATTACCAATTAAGCTAGAAATTCCTTCTATGAGAATCTTATTCAAGTTAGGGATTGATGTAGAAGACTTGATTAAGAAAAGGATAGATTATCCCAATTTGCTTGATGAAAAAAGATTGGTAGCTCTTTGTCATGGCCAATGTTATCAATGACAAATGGTAGTAGCTTACAAAAAGAAAGTCAGACCTAGAATATTTCATCAAAGAGATCTTGTCTTAAGGAAGATCATGCTAAATGAAAGGAACCCTAGGGGCAAATTTGCACCAAACTATGAAGGGCCCTATGTTGTTAAAGAAACTTTCTCCAGAGGAGCACTCTTGTTAAGATATCCAGATGGAACTGATTATCATCACCCAGTGAATGCTGATGTTGTCAAAAAGTATTATTGCTAAAAAAAAAAAAA